TTTGTTAATGTATGCAATTCTTAAATAAAGTTAATATTAATTCAATATAAATTATCTTCTCCAGTGATAAGGGACCGAACCAGAAATTAGTAAACAGCAAGAAAATACAGAAATCAACAAAAATATCAAAATTAAACATCACATTTTTTTTGTCATTTCTGTCTCTCAACAGTTTTATTGGAACAGGTTGGTTTGTCTCAAAATGACAAGCCCATCTAAGAACCTGTAGGAACTGGTACTCACTGGCACTGGTGAGGAGAAGGAGCTATGGGTCAGAGGAAGAGCATTTGAGTCACACTCATGGGGATCTGGAAGGAGAGGAAAGGAAAGCCCTTTCTTTCTCAAGGAGTAGATGTAATAAATGATGTTCTGTGTGTTTATTAGTAACATGTATAAGTAGTTCTAATTTTTAATATTTTTATTATTTAAAATCATTTTATTTATTTATTTATTCATTCGTTTGTTTGTTTGTTTGTTTGTTGAGGGAAGTTTTCTCTGTGTAGGTCTGACTGTCCAGTAAGTTGCTCTGTAGACCAGGCTGGCCTCAAACTAAGAATCCACCTGCCTCTGCCCTCCTAGTGCTAGGATTAAAGACATGTGCCATTACCACTTGATTAAAAACCATTTTCAAATTTACATATATTTTGATCATATTCTTCCCCTCCCCAATATTCATCCATATTCCTCTCCTCCCACCCATTCAACTTTAAGTTTTCTCAAAAAAAGATCCAAAATGCTAATAGAACTACAAATGCTCCAAATCTAGAAAATAAAATACATCACCCAAAAAGAAACTACAAAACAAAATAAAAAAACAACTGTAACTAATTAAAAGCACACACACACATACACACACACACACACACACACACACACACACACACACACACACTGTAGCATCCATTATTTGCTAGTCAAGTCTCCTCAACATGTGATCTGCCCTGGAGTACTTGATATATCCACTGTCAGTTCATTGGAGAAAATTGATTTGCCCCGTCCCAGCAGGTATAAATGACAGTTTCATTTTTAACTTTTATCCTAGTGGCTAGGTTTGCATTCGATCATTAATATATTCATTCATTCATTTAAGAAATTATAACAAGATAAACCCAAAACTATCACGTTGAAGTAAGACAACAAAAAGAGAAGGGAAAGAGCTCAAGAGAGGGCCTAAGAGTTAGAGATAAACTTGTTCCCATAAAAACACTAAACTCAAAGCCATGATATAAGCACAGGGGACCTGTGCAGCCCTGTGCAGGCCCTGTGCATGCTGCTTCAGTCCCTGAGATGAACTTTGCTCATGTTGATGTAGAGAGCCTTGTTTTCTTGCTCTCCTCCATCCTCCCTGGCTCTTACACTCTTTCTGCCTCCTCTTTCCAGAGGGTTCCCTGAGCTCTGAGGAGGGATTTGTTGTAGATATCCAATTTAGTGCTGAGTGTTCCAAGGTCTCTCACTCTTTGTATAATGTCTGGCTGTGGGTCTCTATATTTAAAAAAGGCATTTTTTTTTTTTTTTGGTTTTTTCGAGACAGGGTTTCTCTGTGTAGCTTTGTGCCTTTCCTGGATCTCGCGCTGTAGACCAGGCTGGCCTCGAACTCACAGAGATCCGCCTGCCTCTGCCTCCCGAGTGCTGGGATTAAAGGCGTGCGCCACCACCGCCCGGCTAAAAAAGGCATTTTTAAACACAGTATTTTTTTTTCCATTGAGATTATCCTGCCAGCATGCATGTATTTTCATCATATTTATGATCAACACTTTCTTCTTACTCCTTCCAGATCTACCCTTACCATCTCCTAACTTTGTAAAAAAAAATCTTTTCTAGGAACTGGAGATATGACTCAGTGGTTAAGAGCACTGACTGCTCTTCTAGAGGACCTGGGTTCAATTCTCGGCACCTACAGGATGGCTCACAACTGTTTGTAACTCCAGTTCTAGGGAATCAGATGCTTCTTCTGACTTCTGCCAGCAATGCATGAACATGGTGGACATGCCTATGTGCAGGCAAAACACCCAAAAACAGATGATAAAAGTCAACATTAAAGATGAATACATATAAAATAACAATAAATCTTTAAACTAAAGGAAGAAAAACTTAGTACTGTAAACACTGAATAAGGCATCTTCATGATGGTCCCTGAGTCTTAAGGGAGGGAATATGATATGGATGACCCATCCCCAGAATTGCTGCTGTCAATCTGAGAGGACAGGGAGGGTCCTTGTTTCTGTTGTTTTGTTTGTTTTTGTCTCTGGGTGACTTAGCAGGACCAAAAAAGATTCGGGTCACCAACAGAAATGCACAGGTCTTAATCCAGGGGATTCTCATATCAGAGAAAGCCACTGGCCAATACAGGGAAATAGAACTGAGAGAAGCAGACAGAGAAACAGACAGACAGAGAGACACATACACACACACACACACACACACACACACACACACACACACACACACACATACACACACACAGAGTGAAGGCAACCAGTGCTGACCACCACACACTCATACACCTGAACAGACGGGGAATCAAGTGAGGTCTCACAGATTCAGGACAATGGACCAGTGGCCTTGTCAGACCTCTCCTGTGTGTCCAAAGAGAAGGTGCCTTAACCAGACTCACCTCCAGATGTGGTAGACCAGGTGACTTTCTAATTTGTTTCCTTTTGGGGTGGAGACATCAGACTCCTCTGAAGCATTAGGCAGCAATTGATCAAAGAGGGTATCAGGGACCCTGAACTCAGGTCGCACACCCCTTAGGACAGTGGATATCAACCTTCGTAATGCTGTGACCCTTTAACACAGTTCTCATATTGTGGTGACCCCAACCATAAAATTATTGCTGTTGCTCCTTCATAACTGGAATTTGCTACTGATATAATTGTAATGTAAATATCTGATATGCAGCATATCCGATGTGTAACCCATTTGAAAGGCCCTTCGACCTGAAAAGGGTTGAGACCCACAGGCTGAAGACCACTGCCCTAGGAGCTCCTTGACCACCACATTCTTCCCGATTCCAAAATACTTTGAGATCTCTGGTGTCTTCAGGTCTTGCTCTGGGATGTCCTTGGGACTTCCAGAAATGTTGTGGGGAACTCACCAGAGAAGAATTTTCACACACGGATTTAAGTCAATAGAAAGTCTTTATTAGCTGATCAGCAACTACACTGGGTGTTTGGGATCCCAGTGTAGCACCGAGCCTTTCTCAGGTAGAGCTTTTAAGCACAAAACACATGCTTTGGGTCAACATACTTCAGTTAACAAGAACGGTTTGCTAGAAGCAGAAGAACAGAAGCCAAAAGGCAAGGTTAGTACATTCAGAGACTTTCCCTTAACTATGGACTGGAATGGATCAGGCCTCTGTTTTAGTTTTGGCAGGTGGTGCTGTCTATGTGCTGAGTTTTACAGCCTGAATGGCAGTTCTATGATGGATCCAGTTGTGGTCAGGTCTGGGGCCCTGTTACAGTTACCAATAATTTCTATTAAATAATTAGTCCTCGATTTCCATTTTCTATGATTAGTTGTTACGGTTGTCCTTTAGCAACACCTGAGGTATTTGATTACAGACAGTTATATAAGCAAGAGTAAAAACTTCACGCTCCCACTAAGGAGATTTAGTTATCCTTTTTCCTATGCTAGGGATGGGCACATAACCATGTTCTTTTCCAGATCTCTAGTTCAAGTAATTCCATGTTAAGGGCAAATCCCACCAGGGAGCATTGAGAAAACAGCACAAGGTGATAAGAAAGACCCAAGTGACAGCACAGAGTGAAGGACCGTGACACACACTGTGTCGGCAGCATCATGATTCATCTGGTTGAGGCCCGGTGAGAGGGAGAGTGGCTGGATCAGATGAATAATTCTCACAACCTTCTCTGGAGCATCGTCACCCTACAACAAGGGAACAGGTCTATTGAAGGGTCTGAGGACAGCCTGGGTCAGTTCCCCTGGGTGCCCGGTACCAGTCATCTCCACCCCACAGCCACCCTCACTGAGGTCATCCAGTTCCCTCCTCCATCACTCCTGGGCTCTGCATCCCTGGAGCCTCTACTGTCTTCCTCCCTTCTTCCCCGTGTCCCAGAGTCAGCCCCAGGCCCTGCTGCAGACCTGAAGTTCAGAATAAAGTGGTGATGGCTGGCTCTGCTTCCTGACTCAAAACCCGATGGTAGGGGCAGGAAGAGAAGGGAAGAATCCTACCAGAAAGGGCCCTGGGACCTGGTTATCCAGGCTCTGAGTGGGGTTCCAGACATCATTTCCATTTCATTCTGAAACTCTCAAAATCTGAAAGTGGCATCACAGCTGTGGATGTGACTCTCCCTGCCCCACCTTGTCCATCTGGGCAGCCCAGAGGGGAGCAGCAGACTCCAGCAGCAGCTCAGTCCCACCTGCCTCCAGTGTGGACACTGCTTCAGGGGTTCTGGAGGCTGCTGCTGCTTGACTCATTTCTATTTTATGTGTGTGAGTGTGAGCCAGCACGTCTGTAAGTGCACTGTGGGAATGCCTGGGGTCTGTGCAGAAGAAGGGACTGGATACCCTGGACCTGGTGCTGTGTGGTTGTGAGCTGCCATGTGGGTGCTGGGAATGGACCCCAGGTCTGATGCAAGAACAGCAAGTAGTCTTGCCACAGGGCTGTCTCTTTATTTATATCTTCTTATCTTTGTCTGTGGGATGGAATCTTCTTCCCTCTACTCATTGAGTGGAACTACAACTTTCTCTTGTGTTCCTGCTGTCTCCACATCTGCATCATGGAACCCTCCTGACTAGGAACCTGCTCTGTTCCCTCCTCATTTCCCACTGGTCTGTGACATGATTCCTGTCCTGTCAAGGCTGAGCATGCATGAACTGTTGCTAGCAGGTGACATGAACTCCAGATCTCCTGCCTCCTTTCTCAATAAGATGCTATAGATGAGGGACAAGAGCAGGACTCCAGGAGTTCATTCTTTCTTCCTCATTCCTTCTCTCTGTCCCTTACCCCACTCCCAAAACTGCCCTCAGTACCTTCATTATCACAGATTCTCCTCAGAACCCACAGAAAAAACGGTGTAGGGGAGGATTATCAGCGGGACAGAGATGTTGTGCTTGCTGGCCATGGATGAAGCCAGGTCCACATCTGGAGCAATTGGCGAGGCTGAAATGGAAACACAGGTTGAGTCTTGACCAGACATCAAATCTGAGGAAATCTCACCTTAGCTTCTGGGTGCTCAGGTGATTGAGTAACACACAGAGCTCCACTCCTGTTGCTATGCAACGAATGTTTAAGTGGATTCCCAGTAGGAAGGGAGAGAAGGCATGTCCCCTGACCCCAAAGACTCCTGCAGCTATGGTAGGGGAAGCAGGGCAATGATAGGACCTCATCTTCCCTCTAGTAGGAGAGGAGGTGTGAAGATTACCTGTGAGGATGGAGGCAGGGAAGAAGAAAGATCAGGTGAGATGAAAAGCAGCAGAGAGTCTAGAATGAGGAAAAGGACAGGAAATAAAAGGATGCTCAGACTGTGACAGCCTGTGAGAACCACAGTGAGAGAACAAGGTAAACACAATTAATGAGACAGGAGAGGGTGAGAAATGAAATGAATGATGGGAAAAATGGCCATCAACTGAAGAGCTCATGGTGATTACATTATTATACACACACACATGCGCACACACACACACGCACACACACCCTCCTGTGCCGAGAGCTTCCTCCCCTTCTTCCCAGTTACCTGTAGGCTCCAGCTTTTCTTCCCAGTGTGACTTGAACTGCTCAAGCCAGGACCTGCAGTCCCCCTGTGAGGTCCTGTATAAGAAGTCAGTTACTTCCTTGTTTTTCTCCAACATACTTTTCATCTGGCTGGATTCAGAATCAACTTCAGTCAACTTTCCAGTGCTTGAGTCAAAATGCAACATTTTCTGTCCATTGAGGTCAAAGTCCCAGAATCCACGGATATCTCCATTTACTTCATGTCCACAATGCATCGTGGCCTGCAGAGTGAGGGGCTCTGTGCCTGTTGGAAAGAGATCAGCCTCTGGCCTTGATGAATCCTGTCTGTCTACCCACCTCCCTTCCCATCCTCTGACCTTGCTCTGGCTTCCTTGCTGCTGGTCCTTTTAGGTGGGATGACCAGTGATTTATTTTCTTCCTCCATGAAAACAATGAATGTCCCTAACCTGTCACAAATCCTGTTCTTTCCTTCAAGGGGCCATCTGCTGTGTTCTTTTATTTAATTTTCTAGCAGTGGGATTGAACCTAGGGTCCTGCATATGCTAGGCAAGCACTCTACTACTGAGCTACATCCCCAGCACTAGGGGGCCATTTGAAACTTACCTCTCATTGTATTAGTCTCTGATATCATGTGAACCACTTCTGCTTTGAACAGTTCAACTGCATCTCTCAGAGTGTCAACCTGTGGTTCCCAGGTCTTTGTGCACTCAGTCTGTTCCCCAGAAGACCAATGGCATGGTAGTTATTGTTACGATCACAGTAAATAAAAGTTTCTGTGTTCAGTTGGCCTTGGACTTGCCACCACGGTCCAGACCCGGACTTGCCCACAGTGAAGCTGTAGCAAAGAGAAGCAGCGTCTGTGAAGGAAACACACAGTGAGGTTAGGATGCGGAACAGGGCTCAGAGACAGTCTCTGCCTCTGGAACAAGAAAGTCCTCTGGAAGGGTGTCTTTTTTTTTAAAGAGGGAAATAAGTAGTAAAATCAAACCCCAGACTGAGTTTCCACTGTGCTAAGTAAAGCACAGCCATTCTCTCTTGTTTGAAGATGCAGGTCAAGGTGTGGCCAACCCCTGTCCTCCACCTGGACAATTCTCTGACCTGTTACCACATGATCTGGCTAGGGGTAGGCCCTGTCAGTTATGGCAGGAAAAGTTCAGGACTTTTTTCTAGATTTGTTCATTCTGGAGAGTCTCCAGAAGCTGCCCATGTAGACTGTGTGGAGACAGGATGTGTGTGAGGCTGGTGGGGCAGAGTGGAGCTGGGTGAGGTTGGAACAGAAGTTTCATGGAGACAGTTTCTACTGATCTGTACTCTCAGATCATAGACTTGGACATCTTTGCTGGTTAGCATTAACTGTCAGCCTATGGTCACCTAGGAAGGGAATGTCTACTGAGGGACTGTTCAAACTGTTAATGATGTAGGCATCCTAGCCACTGTGGGCATTACCATTTCGTTAGCAGGTGGTCTCTGGTTGGTGAAGAAATCTAGCTATGCAGGAGTTAGTGATCCAGACAGCAAGCAGCATCCTCCCTGGTTCCTGCTGAGACGCTCTGGCTGGGAACAAGCTCCTTGGTCATAGATAATGCTGTGCAGAATAGCAAGTCGGCCTTCCTCTGCGTACCTGCCCTGACTTCCCTCAGTGACAGACTATGGTTTAGAAGTAGAAGTCAAATAGATCAGTTTCTCCCTTAACTTGCTCTCAGTAATGTTTTATCACAGCAGTAGAATAACAATAGAACAAAACGTTGGCAGATCCCTGGACACACTGCAGTGCTCCACGGATGGCTTCCTGGAACTGCTTGGGGATGACCATGCCCACACTACAGGACAAAGAAAATCTGGACTGGTTAGATCTGGTCATAGAAGAGTGGTGACCAAAACTCTCAGAGAAGCACATGGGCCAGAGTGGATGTAACAGCAAACATTTCCAGGGGGAGTGTCCAGAGTCCATGCTGCTCTGTGGGATGCTGGAGCACCCCTGTGGAGAAGCACAGTGAGAATGACCAGGGAGAAGACACCAGCATTGCAGGAAGGTCAGGGATGATGATGGCTCAAGGAGGGGGTTGGTGTGGTGTTAGGAAACTGTATTTCTAAGTTGGCATCCCGGCAGCATGGTACAGAAAATCCCATCAGGTAGAGTGGTCAGGAGGCAGTAACATCAAGGACAGTGGTCCATTGATGAGGAAGGGGGACCCACCTGGAAGCCTAACTGCTTAAGGGGGTCATGGCTAACAGAACACAGAAATCCTAGAGACAGATGGTTAGCCAACCCAGATGTGGCTGGATTTTAATAATTAAAGACAGAGCAGATGATCAAGAAGCTGAGAGCTGCTGTCCATGAAAACCCCAGGCTCCTGTGCCCAGTGTTTAAACTGGACCATTGGGGCTAGAAAGGTGGTGCAGTGGTTAAGGACACTTGTTGCTCTTGCAGAGGATCCAGGTTTGATTCTCAGTGACCACACATGGTGTCTCACCACTGCCTGTGACTCCAGTTCCAGGAGATCCAATGCCCTCTTTTGACCTCTGAGGGAACCAAGCACATATGTGGTGCACACACATACATTCAGTCAAAATATATATCTATAAAACAATTAAAACTGAACCACCTCAACGACAGCCCCAGATTGACTTCCTAGGGGAATAGATCAGGTCCCAACAAGAGTGACCATCCAGCCCTGCATCAAGTGCAGTCATTCTTTTGTATCACTTCATTACTGTCCTGTCACTCAGGGATGAACCCCAAGATGCTCCTGTGAATGTCTAGTGTGGTGGTTTGAATGAGCCTGTCCTCTATAGAGTAGGATGTCTGAACACTTGGTCCCCAGTTGGTGGCTGTTTGGATAGGTTTAGGAAGTATGGCCTGGCTGAAGGAAGTATGTTACTGGTGGTGTGGTTTTAAAATCCATTCCCATTTCTTCATCTCTGGACCTTGGTTGAGATTTAAGATGTAGGCTCTCAGCTGGGCATGGTATCCAATTGCTCTCATCCCAGAATTTGAGAGTCAAAGGAAGGCAAATCTCTAGGAGTTGAAGGCCAGCCTGTTTTATATAGTGTGTTTTAGGACAGCTGGAGTATACAGTGAGAGCTTGTTTCAAAAACCCAAACCAAATCCAACCAAACCAAACAAAAAATAAGTGTGCCTGCCTTCTTGTTGTCATGCTTCTCTGCTGTGAGATGATGGGCTCTTGTCCCTCTGAAACTATAAGCTTCCCCAAACCCTTCCTTCTGTGTGTAACCATGGCCTAGTGTTGTATCACAACAATGGAAAAGCAACTAATACCACTACTATATAAATACTGAAGTCTTCACAGGGCAGACCATCTCAGTTACACCTGCTAAACTCTGCTCTTGTACTTTGAAAGCAGCCAAAGTCAATATATCCCTGAAGAGCATGGCTGAATCTGCCTCTAGGGCCCTTTGACCCAGGACAATCTGTCAGCCTGAGGTGTCAGTTCTAGGAAATGGCCCTGGATGGAGTTCATGGCAGTGTCTAATTGGAGATAGAAGCCAGTCTGATCCACCTGCAGCATGGAAATGCCCTCCATTTCATTGTGGCTCCTGGCAGGGTACTGGGCCCTCTGAGAGAGTGGCCTCTGGTCCTGGACTACCAGAAGGCCTATCAGACCTCAGGCAGACATCAAGAGGTGAGCTATTTCCACTAGGTTATGAAGTGGACAGGACATAGTCACACAAGATGCCCAGAAGTGAGATATTGCTGCAGGGACATGACAAGTCACTTGTGTGTTAAGGGCTGCATAGTAGGGAGAGACAAGGACTCTTATCTGACAGAACATCTCCTGTTTCCCAGTGGAGATCTTATTTCAGGTAGAGGAACTGACTGAGGTTAATTCTCAAGTAAGCTGCCACCTCTCCCTCAGAAAGTAACTCAGGCTTCAAGGACTGTCCCCTATGGCCATGAGATCCAAGGAATCCCACCGCCATGAAGAGAGCAGGAGGTCCCAAACAGGACCTCCTCCTGTCTTTTCTAGATGGCCTAGAATTGCAGGCAGCACAGAATCCACTGTTTACTAAGAAACATGCAGCTTTGGCAGTACTTTTGAAGACACTCTGTGGGGATGGGCACCGATACTTGTACATGGTATATACCCTAATCTGGGGTTGGAAAAATTGACAGAGGCTAAATCTGTTGTCCCAATCTGTCACACTAAATGCAGAATTGAGTATTTGGTGCAGGATAGATATGGTGAGGATTGCCAGGTTGAAAATATTTAACACCTGTCATTTACAGAAACAAAGAAACCAAATTAAAAAAAAAAAAAAAAACCCAACCTACTCCTGCCTAAATGAATGCCCTTATCCAATGCTGTCCTCCCAGGAGGCAGACGATATGGGCCTGGGATGCAAGGGCAGAGCCTTTCATATGTCCCCACTTGGTATCATTGCCTGAGTCCACTATAGTCAGCCCTGACTAGCTGAGGTGCTAATCCACAGATTGCCATCAAGTGGGAAAGGAGCTGGAAGGCACTTTATGGATGAGAAAGTGGGAAAGGTATATGGGCAGGGGAGGGGGCTGAGCAGGCTGGTGGTTGATGAGTCACATGGGAATTGAAGCTGAGCTTGGTGGTACAGAACTGTAATCCTAGCACTTGACAGACCTAGGGAGAGGAAGAGATTGATGAAAATTCTATAGCGTAGGCTATGGTGTGAAATCCTGCCGCAAAACAAAGCAACAGCAAGAATAAAAGGGAAGAAAGTGAGAAAGTTGGGGCTGCCTTGTCCCTGGAAACATCTTTTGTGATCTGCTGGAAAAATACCTTGGGATGGTGGGGAAGAGTTCAGGAATGGTGGAGGGCTTGTGAGGAATCTTCCAGAAGGCAGTCTTCAGCACATAAATTGCCTCAAGTCCAAGGGAGCTGTCTGAGCCTCTTGGCAGGTTCTGGCACTGTCCCCATCACCCATGTTCTCCCGCTTCAGTTTAGGCTTCCTGTGGACCCCAGTATGGCTGAATGCTGATGATGTCACCAGCGAGTCCCCTCTGGCATCTTGCCCTCCTGATAATTCCCAGCCCAGTAACTTTCTCACTCCTCCCCTGGGCTTGGTAGTGGCGGGCGCACCATTTAAAGGGTCCAGGAGTTTCTGGGAGGAGGATTGCTACCTCATGATTCAATAGCCTGCCTCTCCAACCCCCCCTCCCCCCCCCGCCCCCAACAAACACACACAAATCCCGTTAAACCGCGGCAACTCACCAGCAGGCAGCGAAGACCACAGACAGGTCAGGAAAACGGAGAAGCACAGAGTCTTAGTGGAAGGATAGTGCTCAGAGGCTGCATTCTTCGCCATACCCTGAGCAACAGGTTGAGTAACCAGAGCTACAGAGAGAAGCGGTGAGGCCTCAGTGCAGCCCTGCAGAGGACCCCTCCTCAGAGAATTACAGAAGTGCCAGGCACGGGGCCGTAAATTTTCAATGGGAACTCTGTAGGCTGCACGGGACAGGCTTGGCTCCCTCCCAACTGACTGCTGTGGTCACATCCTCTGGGAGGCGGGGACTGACCAGAGTGATGCAAGAGCTGCTATTGTTCATTTTCCAAGCTCCTAAAAAAAACCTGGTTCCTCCCAGGCACTCAACTTCTGCTCTATCCTCTAGGTCTTCCTCAGCAGCTTGCTACAAACTGCAAGAAGGTTAGGTGGTTCTGTGTCCTGCAAGCACATTGGGACCTGTGTGAGGCCAATCATGCCCACAGCAACTTGAGTCACACCAGGAACTCCTCTAGGAGTCTTTGCTACAGCTCTCCTTGAGTGTCAGCCACACCACATGTCTCTCTCTCAACCCACCCCACCCCCAATACAGGGTCCTCCCTCCCCACCCCCATCTCCAGCTGGCCCTTCTGCCCTTCCCACCACCTCCCCTCTGCCTACATCTCAATCCCATCAATCCCAGACTCATTTTCTCCACCAGGTTCCTTCCCTCAACCCTGTCCTCCCCACTCATTTAATTGTCTTAATTCTTGGCCCAATGGCCCAGCAACATCCACATAGTGCCCTGGTCATTCCCCCTTCCCTCCACCTCCATCTCCTTTCTTTACCTCACACACCACCAGAGAGAGAGAGAGAGAGAGAGAGAGAGAGAGAGAGAGAGAGAGAGAGAGAGAGAGAGAGAAGACAATTATTAACTGTCTTTTCGGCATAGCTGAATTTTTCTCCTTAACTCTGGGACACTAGAACCTAAGGCCTTCAGGAAAGTTCTGCTATCCTAAAATCATTGCAATTAAAAGCAGTTTCTGGGGCCTGGAGAAATGTGCCAGAAGTTAAGAGCACTGATTGCTCTTCTACAGGACCCACTTTGGAATTCCACCCCTTTGTCTGCATTGTTCCCTGACCTTAGCTGTGGGAGTGTTTTGAAGATGTATCCCTTGGACTGGGCTCCACAATTTTGCATATTGATTGGTTGTGGTTTTCTGTAGTGGTCTTCATCTTTTACCAAGAGAAGTTTCCTTGATGGAGGTCAAGAATACATTTACCCCTGTGTTTAAGGACAAATGTTTTTAGATTGTGCTTGGATGTGTATCTGTTTATCTGCTATGTGATTATACATGTACCTGCATGTGCTTGTGAATGTGCATGTGGAAGTAGAGGACAATGTTGGCATCTCCCTCCGTTTCTCTCCACCTTATCGTGAAGACAGGATCGATCAGTGAACCTGGACCTTGCTATTTCAGCTAGACTGGCTGACCAGTAAGTCCCCAAAGTTTACCTGTCTCTTCCCAACAGTGATGGGGTTACATACTCACACTACCGTGATTAGCTTTTACATGATGCTAGAGAGCTCACCTCAGGTCCTTATGCTTGGCCAGCAAGCGCTTTACCCCCTGAGTTATCGGCCCAGCACTCTTTGTGATTTTGACTTGCGTTCTCCTGGTGATCAGTGGTGTGAAGTAACTTTTCATACACTTGTTGGCTATTCATGTGTTATTTTGGAGAAATGCCTGGCCTATTAATATCCATTGTCCATTTAAAGAAACCAGTTCATTTTATTGGTGTTGAAGTGTATGAGGGTATGCATATTTTACTAGAGACCAATGTTGATGACACAGCATTGGATGGTAATCAGCTGTTAATTAGTTTCTGTCACTATGATATAACACCTGATCTTCCATCCATGGCCCAGTTGCACTGGCAGAACACCATGGTGGGAAGTATGTGATGCAACATGGTGACTGGGTAGTTAAGAGAGAGGAGCAGTGGGGTCCCAATTTGTCCTCAAGTGCACACCCCAAGGGCATAATTTTCTTACACTCACTCCACCCCTCACTAGTTCTCAAACCTCCCTAAAGCACCATTACCTCGGGATAAAATCTTCAGCACCTAGGCCTTTGAGAAACACTTCAGTTTCAAAGCACAACATATGCTTTGGAAATGTGTTTGGGATGCCTATTTAAGGTTTGTTTGCTTGCTTATTGAGACAAGGTTTCACTATGTAACCCTGGCTTGTCTGGAACTCACTATATAGACCAGTCCAGCCTCAAACTCACAGTTTGCCTCTGCCTCCTGAGTGCTGAGGTGTGAAGCACCATGCCTGGTCCTCTATTGATATTTATTCCCTCTCCCCGCTCCACCCTGTCTAGTTTGATGTTTTCACTTTTGCTGTTGTTATCTGTGCATTTTGTATTCAGTTTCAAATGTCATTACAAAGATAAATATCAAAATATTTCCTTTATAGTTTTTGCAACAGTTTTACAATGTCATATTTTACAGGTAAGTCTCCAGTCCACTTTGAGGATGCTCTTGTATGAGGTGTCTGGTAAGGTTCAGATTTAGTCTTTTGCATGCTATTCCCAACAGCGTTGATTGAAGGGATTTTCCTTCCCCCATTACTAAATCCTGGCATCTTTGTTAAAGAGCTGTGTGAGGCTTGCTTCTGAGCTACCTGTTCTGTTCCATTATTGGTCAGTGTTTGTTTTCTGTCATGCTGTTTTGATTACTGTAGCTTTTGGATAATGCAGTTGGAGAGATGGTTCAGCCATTAAGAACTCTTGTTCTGGCAAAGGACCAGAGTTCAATTCCCAGCACCCATGTGGTGGCTCTCAACCATCCACAACACCATGGTGCTCAGACATACATATGAACAAAACACTCATACACATATAAGAGAATACATAAATTTGAAAACTCAGAAGTATATTGACTATTTGGAGGCTTCTATATTTCTGTATGAACTTGCCCACCCACCCCCAACTCCTATGGAGAACACATAGGATTTCAACAGAGATCACAGAGAGTCTGTAAGTCACTTTGATTAGTATGAACACTGTAACGATATTTCTTCCAATCAGTGAACACAGGGTGTGTCCCCAGTTTGATGAGTCTTCTTTGGTTTCTTTTTTCTGTCTGCAGTTTTCTATCCTCAGATACTTTAGCTCTTGAACTGAGGTTATTTGTAAGTATTTAATTCTTTCTGATGTTACAGACAATGAAACAGTTCCCTTAATTTAACTGTCAGATCATATGTTGTTAGTGGACGTAAATGAACCTGATTTTTTTGTTTGCTGATTTTTTTTATCCTAACACTTTATACTCAATTTTTTACTCTTAACCATACTTTGATAGACTCTTCAGGGTTGTCTAAATATACTATCATGTCATATGCAAGTGGAGACTCCTCAACCTCTGCATTTCTAGTCTAGACGAATTTTATGTCTTTTTCTTGCCCAATTACACTAGCTAGGACTTCTAGCACTATACTGAGTAAAAGCTGTAAAAGCAGGTACCTTCCTGAGTTCAACTTCTCATTGTCAACTATTCTGTCAGTCGTTTTGTCATGTAGGTCTTGTGTGTGTGTGTGTGTGTGTGTGTGTGTGTGTGTGTGTGTGTGTGTGTGTGTGTGTTTAAGGACATTCGTCCCATATCTAGTTTATGGACAGATTTTATCAGAAAGTATGTTAAGTTTTCACAACCTTCTCTGCATTTGTTGGGGGATCATGAAACCTCTCCCCTCATTCTCTTCATTTGGTGCACTGCATTACTGACTTGGGGATCACTGAATACTTTTTGTCCATCAGTGTCGGAGTGAGGGCAGGGAGCTCCAGGGAAAAGGAACCAGTGTCCTCACTGAGTTGTTTTCTTCTTCACTGATTTTCTTCTAGAGTGTCTATGCTTTCAATTTTTGAAGATTCTTGTCTTATCTTTCTTGTTCTCTGTCTTCTGATTTCCAGAGGTTACTTTGCTCTGAATTTATTTTTAGGGTGTAAATTAAGATTGTTGACTGGAAGAGTTACTTACTTTTCATGTTAGCATTTATGACTTTACATTTCCCCTTAACCAATCTGTCACTTGTGTATGGAAGATTCTTTTTTCATAAAGCTATTTTAAATGTCTGTTCCAAGTGAATAACATTTACACACAAGAAAACACTATCATTATTTGACAGAACGTGAACAAAATATCATAGAATATTTCCTCCTTTTTGTCTAAACAAAAAGTGAAAGTTTTAACTAACATAGAAAAACTATATACAATAAGAACAATAACTATATGCAAATACATAAAGGCAATAATTACATTAACAATGTCTATTTAGCATTTGACAAATTCAGAGAAAACATGCCATTATCTATCCTGTCTTGGTGAGTCCAAAGTGTTCTACCTAATTCACTTTCTATCCTAACTTGCATTATCAACCCAAAACTATCTTTTGATGTCTCTCAACCTTATATATTTTACACTTCTTTAGTGAGTTTCTTTTCTGATTTTGTTAAAAAGGAAAACTGTAACTGTAAATTGTTCAACTCCATCAGAGACCTGAGAAGGATATAATATTCCCTGATTAAACAGGAAGTGTAGAGCAAACAACTTTCAAAAAATAAGAAATGACAGAAACAGCTGGCTGCTTGGACAGGCACCCAAGGTTCTTCTGCAACATTGGGGCATCCATCTTTGGCCTACAGGCCTAGAATATCTGATAGACTTATCTGCGAAGCAGGATTTTTGAAGAACTGTCCCACCTTGTCTTGACAAAGTTCTGCAATAATTTTCTTTTCTGTCTTGCTTGTCCAATTTGGACAGCATACTGTCAGCAGTTGAGGCAAGGGCAGTTTCTTGCCCAGTGGCTAACTTTTGCCACAAGCAAAGTAATATCCATATGGAGTTTCTTTGATGCTCATCATCTTTTCTGAAATAGATTTGTGCTGCCAGGAGCAGACACGTCTCACTGTCATAAACACTTTAAATGACATATTCTGTAGGTCTCTGAAGTGTATCTATCTAAACTATATTTCTGTTTGTCCTTGAAAACATACCTAAAATGACTGCAGATGGATTGTAATAAGTGACTGGTACTAATCTGC